CAAACACACACCCCAAAAACAGCCGCTTACGCCTGATGCTGCAAATACACCGGGGGCTGGGTGCAGGCACTGCCAGCCCCTCTGTGGGACCGGGACCGTGCGGGTGCCGGACGAGGGCACAGCCGTGTTCCCGGTGAGGTGCCAGGAGCGAGGGGAGTCAGCTGCAATCCTGCGCGTCCGATTCACGTTATTGGGTGCAAAGCCTCATCTCGAAGGAGCGCTAGCAGAAGGTGAACATGATCACAAATGAAAATAAGTACTGGTACAGAAACAAAAATAGTTCCCGTAGAGCTCCCTGGGAGGTCTGATCTCACACGCAGGCGTGTGTCGGTCCTCCAAACTTTGAACAACGCCTGGCTGGTGTTTCTGGAGATGCTCTCCATGCCTGACCCCATCTCCTCCATTGACAGCGATACCTGCCTTCCCGCTTCCCCAGGGCACTGGAGGGAATCCTTTTTCTTCTCAGGGATCCAGGCAGAGCTGGATGTGGAGGGGAAAGGCTTGTCTTTGCGTCGCGAAACCTCCGGGAAGTCCACATGGGTGGCAGCAGAAGCGACCCCAGCTTCAGTTTCTGGCTGAAGAAGCTGACGGTTTTGGCACCAGGAAGGTCAGCGTCTCGCGTATCTCAGTGTTGCAGAGGAAGCCGGTAACTGCAATACCCAGCGCAGCCGGTGCACGTTCGGGGATGTGCATGATGTCATTTTAACTCTTGAAAACCCGTAGAAGACAGCAGCGGTAGATGGGGCTTTGTGCTGCTGGTCGGTGGGCAGCCCCCGTGTCGTGGCTGTGACTCGTGCTCTGCGGTAGTGTCCTGCCCAGGAGCGTACGAGGGAGGACCTACTGTACTAGATCGAGTGTTAAACAAAGAAACAGTCCCACCAAGGAAGTTCACCCTCTATAAACCAGTGACACAGCCTAGTCCTGTTGGAGAGCGCCAGCGTCCCTTGGTGCCAGCCCTGCATGGCCCCAGAGCTTGTCCCTGAGCATCCCTCTGCTCCCCACAGCGCGGCTCCGAATTAGCCTGTGAGGAGCTGCTCTTACGTTTCATCTCTGGTCTTCCGACTTCCAAACACCGCTGTCTCCAGGAAGGTGCGTATTTGAGCGAGAAACTCCTGACTGAGGCTTGCTCCTCGAGCACGGCAGGGCAGTGCTCCCCGCTGCCATGGCATTTGCTCCCCAAGTATCCGGAGGTGGGAGGGCTTCAGTCGTGCAGCATCTGGAGATGTGGTTCAGCATCTCCTGCACCGAGACCTGCCGGGGGACCGCTACCCACCACGTTCACCGCATACTGGTCATCCGAGCTGCAGCCAACGCCGTATCTCGGGCATGCATCTTCTTGTGTCCACGTTTAGGGGTTGGGTCTACTTCCCCTAATGGGGGCCAGCTGCTGGTAAAGCCCCGTTATAACAGAGCTGGGGAGCTAGAAAGCATCTCTGTCCCTGAGGATGACCTTTGAGGAATAAGCTCCAGAGGTCTCGTTTAACACTGACGACAAGTGCATCATCCTAAGGGGAAGTGAAAATATATATGCAGGGATTTGGGGCGGTTTTGGTGGCAGGCGGTAGCTGTATTCAGCAAAAAGGGGCTGTTGTATTAGTCTGTCATTTGGAAAAGGAAAGCCTGGATGATCCTGGCTGGAGGTTGTGTTGCTGTGAGGGCAGTTCAAGGGCTCAAGCGTGGCCAGGCAGACAAAAGCATCCGCTGGTTAGGAAGCCCCAGGCCCCATCGTGCAACAGGAGGAGATGAGGAGTGCGTTTTCTTAAGCTGCATTTAGAAGCAAATTCTGAATTAAAGGCGAGGTGTGCGATGAGCCCCGTAACTCTCGCACTGGATGTGGATGCACGTATGCAATTTATACTGTACTTAGGAACAACTGGCAAGATAAAGGGAATAAAGGAAGCTTCTTTCTTCTCCCTGCAGTCAGACTGTGCTTTGCAGCCAGCTGCCCCATGGGACCGGCAGCGTGGCTGCTCATACTGATGTGCTCATGATCCTTGGGAAGGTGCTGGGTAGCTCAGCGTCCCGCCTGCTGGTGCCCGGCGTCCACGCGTGCACTGACCCACAGAATCAGTGCGGGGGGGACACACCTTTGTGCTGGGGATGCTCAGGAAAGCTGGAGACCCTTAAAACGGCATCATGGAAGGCTCCAGGTTGTGCAGCCCCTCTTCCCAGTGCTGGAAAGCATCACTGCTCCTTACGCTGTGCGCTTGTGGCTTGCTTCTTGACTATTTTCTGAGCTCCTTGGCATCAGGCAGTGCTGTTGGCTGGTGATTGAATTAAGGGAGCTGCAGCCCTATCTTGCTCAGCCAGCTTTGGTTCCAGTAAGGAATAATCACCGGAGCGTTTTTGCTCAATCCCGCAGAGCCCAGAGAGGCTGAGAACAGGAGCGCAGTCAGCGGAGGGCAGCAGGGACGAGCAGAGCCCTCTCTCACGTGAAGCCCGTGTGCCTCTCAGCTCCATGGGCAGCCCTGCCGCGTCCCTGCCCTGGGCACAGCACACGATGAGCACGTGCTCGTTTGCTGCGCTCGTGGGATGCATTGACGTCCCAGGGTCACTCGTGATCCCCGTGTTCGGAGCAGGGGTTAATCTCAGCCTGTCCATATTCCTGGGTGATTGTTACTTGCCTTTTTTTAAGCTCTCCGGCTGTGTCCTTGGGTAGGACCAAGGCATGGCCCATCGCAGAACAGCTGTAAAGCCGTCTCCTGCGTCAGCCAAGCAGCCTGGTGCTGCTCTCAGGAGTGCAGGCTCCTTCCTGCGTGAGGTTTGCAGCATCCAGCCCAAAGTTTCTAAGAGCCGGTGGTGTCCAGGGAACAGCGGGAACGGTGGGTCGACACGCTGGGGTGCTGGAGTTGAGGTGGTAGCGCCGTGACGCCTGCGAGCAGGCTGAAATCCCAGACTGTGAGGACCGCGTGTCCAGAGAGGGTGTGCTGTCCCTGGAGGTCTTTGAGATCAGGTTGAGATGTGGGTGAGCTGAGCTTCGGGCAGGTAACACACTGGGTGACCCTACAAGGTTCCTTCCATCCCTGTTTTCCCGGCGACTGCAAATCAGCCTCTTTTAAAATAGCTCCGTTTGGGCCACAGCACAGGCCGAGGCACCCAAGATCACGGTTGCTATTTGAAAATCTTGACGGCGGCACGTTTGTGCATCAGCAAACGGGGGTCCTTGCAGCAGCGGCAGCGGTGGGCAGGGACAGCACTGACCAGCTCTGTTCTCTTTCAGGTTTCTTGTCCTTCCTATGGTTTGTAGCCTTCTGCTTCCTAGCAAACCAGTGGCAACAGACGACGATGAGCAAAGGGGTTTCGCAAGGAGCAGACGCCGCCCGGGCAGCAATCACCTTCTCCTTTTTCTCCATCATCGTCTGGGTGAGTTCAGCTTCGGAGCTAAGGTGGGGAGAGGAGAACTGAAAACTGCCCTGGGCTCAGCGCTGAGCTGGGAGGAGGAATCTGGGGCACGGTTTGGAGAAGTGAATGCTGGTGGGCAGCAAGGGGCTGTACTGAGGAAACCTGCGGTCCCTCTAAATAGAGATGAAACTTGTGGTTTCTTACCCAGGAAGCATCAGCTCTGGTCCCCTCTCGCTGGGGAATTCCAGATTTCCCCTTCTCCTGAGGCTGGAAAGTTGCGTTCCCATTGAAAACCTGTTGCTAGCCACGAGCTGCCCTCATTTCAGGGCCTCCTTAGAGCCCCGGGAGTGGCTTGATTGGAAGCAAATCAGTCCCCAGGAGCGGATCACCGCGATGAGCCGGTCTCACGGGATGGCAGGGGGATTTTGGGAGCTTTCAGGCTCATCAGCTCACCCTCGTGGGAAGCCAGACTGGCTCCTCTGCTGCCCACCCCGGAGACGGGGGCTTGCAGAAACCCCCTTTGCTCCTGCTTTGAGGCTCTGTGCATCCCCGGGGCTGCACAGTGGCAGAGGGACGTCTGCCAGGGGTGTGCAAAACCCCGCGGGGCCCCTTGCCCACAGCCGCTGGATCCCACATATACCTGGGGGTGCCTGCACCGCTCGGGGGGCTCCTGCTCCGGAGGCCGCGCATGGAGGAGCGGGGGTGGCCCCTGCATCACCTCCACCCCTCCTCCAGCTTTTCGCGGGCAGAGAGCACCCAAGATGTGCAGTAATTCCATATTGCCTTAAAAGACAGTCTGAGGCTTTCCAGCAGCAGGCCTGGCTCCAGTTACTCACCAGTTTAACTGCTCCCTGCTCTGTTATTATCCAAATAAATCTCTTTTAATCCCAGCTCCCTCACAGCTCTTCTCCATCGCTGTATTGCCAGACTGCCCGTTTAATGCAGCCGCCAGGGAAGGGAGCTGGGTGGGATGCTCTCCCCCATCCCATCAGCATCTGCTCCCACCCCAGGGTCGGCACTGGGGACACCGGACCCTGCCACCCGCGCGGAGGATGGCTGGGATGTGGGGTCGCACTGGCAGCCCCTCCGCTGGTACCGTTAATAAACCCAGGTGCTCTGCTTGATCGGCGCACAACCAGCGCCGGGGAGCGGGCGCTGGGCAGTGGCTGGGGAGCCGTTCTCCGTGTCTGCGGGTGGGGTTTTTTTTCCCCCCCTGAGCCTGTCATTTATAAACTAATTGAATTGTTAATGAAACCTCCTGAAATAAGAGCGAGCGTGGTGCGCTCGCAGCCCTGCCACCTGCATTTCCCATGGTTTGCGACCTGAATACTGGCAACCTGGAAGAGGGTGAAGGAGTCTCGGCAGAACTGACCTATTTTGCTGGCCCGGGACTCGGCAGCTTTCCCTCCCCGCAGCGGATGGGTTTATTGATGCCAGCGGTGCCAAATCTGCACAGCCGGGGACCTGAGCCCAGGCTGTGACCCCCACCCTCGGCAGAGCTTTGGGGGTCAACCTGTCGCAGAGAAATGGCATCTTTAGCGCTAGGGGTTGTGGTTCGGGGTTGTTTTAGCTCTCGGCTTTAATGGAGCGGGGCCAGCAGCCGCCTGGGATGCTGCGGTGCGCTCGGCGCTTTGCAGCGAGCCGGGGGACGCGGGGTCCTGGGGG